ACCTAATGATAATAATTATTATAATGATTTAATTCTTCAGTTGGTGGTTCTTTTTATTTGTTTCTTGATAACGGCTAAAAACTGTTGCAATTGTATTAGTTGTAGAATATGTTTATTTCTTCACTTACTTAAGCAGGTTATTAAACAGGAAACGGGAAACATTTTTCGAGTAGTGTGATACTGCAAACTCATTCTAAGGATAAAGATAGTAGTTGCTTAGAAGTGAAAACTTATTTTATTTGAAAGAAACGGAACGTTTTTAGACTAATTTTTAATATATGCTTAATTACATCGTATTACAACTTGTAAATATTGTTACGCAGTACATTTTAATAATACCAATTAATTCTATAATTATAAGAGGTTCTTATAGTAGTAATGATTAATAAATTATTTACGTGGTTATATTATTAGTTAATATTTTATTTTTAATTGATCGATTAACGTTAAGAATAATTGTATTGGGACACGAATATATGTATATTGAATCCTCGTACTAAGAGATCATTGTGTTTTAACAAAGATTCGTGATTCATAATATAATTACGGCAAATTGATAAAGTTTATCGACAGTTTTAAAATAAAATAACTTTAATCTAAGTTCGTAGTAAAGGTCTTTATTGGAACAATGTTATAAGTTAACAGTTTAAGGCAATTCGCGGTCAAACAATCACTGTAGACCATAGAGCATTCTTATTGTCAATGTGACTACGTTTCCATTGTTGAATATATAATGATAAAATTTTATAAAGAATTCTATTCTTATTATATATAAATTTTATTCAAGCAATAATACGGAAAATAGTAAAAGAAATATGTAATTTTATTATCAATTACCTATGTAATGGTTTAAATATTACTATAATTATTTCAATTCTTCACTAAAATTATTATATAGTAATTTATTTTAATGTGTTTGTGTATGTCCAAAAAGTTTGTCATATTTGAAAGGAGTGCAATGGAAACAAATCGAGTTCTGTGGGTCTCAAGTCGTTGTCGAGATTTAGTTAGGGTAATATAATGTTATCGATCGGTACACTACATATTAAAATATGAAACTGTTTACTCGAAAACTGATCTGAATAACATTTTTTTAAATCTTTTTAACAGAATATTTTCGTGTGTGTGTGAGAGTAAAAAGGTTTGTTGATTATATATTTAAATTGTTTATAAAAGCTTAAATTTTTGGCAATTTTTTTTTCATTATTGAAATTTTTTCTTTACAAATTTGTTTTGAAAAATTTGTATGTAACGTATTTTTGTGAATATTTTTTTATTGTAACATTCTGTACATCTTATAAATATTTTTTTGTATTCAATATTTTAATTGTCCTTGTACCATCATACATTGTAAGTAAATATTCAATAAATTTTATATAAACTAATACAAAAACTAGTTTTATAACAATAATATCATTTACCGTATTACAACTAGCATTCGTATGGAATATTAAATAATTTAATGACTTTTGCATATTTATAAATAAAAATACCCATTGCTAGTTATGATTGAGGTAATATTTCTATGAATTGTTATTTATTGAAAACGTGTAAGTAAGTCCCCTTTAATATTAAAATTATTTTGTTATAACTATAATGAGATGAGTAACAATACTCAGTTTATATTTAAGGTTAGTATCAAAATATTTAAATGTGTATAAAAAAGCTTAGAGTATGTAATATATTTTGTCAGTTCATTTGTATTAGACTGTATAGGTTAATATTCACGCATGTTTTCGCTTTTTATAAAATCATTGTGATGTTTATATTTTATACATTAGTTTCAGTTTGATATAAAACTGCTTATTATGATTTTTTTTCATATTCCGTTGAGGTGCTTGTAATGAAGAAAAAATTCTTTTCCGTCATTGCTACCAAACAAAAATTTTTATATTTCTCATAACATTACTTTAATATATTTAATACTGTTTAAATTTTTATAAAGAGAACGTTAATCATGTGCTTTTTTATTTTTTTCACTTGTTTATACGGAAAATACATATATAAAAAAAGTTGTCGTTTACGCCCGTCTGTTATGCTTTGAAATTTGCTTCCATTTTCGTTGTAACAAAGTGAATTTCGTATCCGAAATTAATTACTTGAAGCACATATCCTTATTATTAAAACTGATATTTACTATTTCGAAAGTATTAAGTAAATCATTCCTCCCATTTCCTTAATTAAAGTTTGAAGGGTGAAGGTTGAATATAAGGTCCAAAACGACGAAAGAAAATTTTGATATAATTAATCAGGCTTTGCTTTTAAAGAAGTTTTATTTACTTACTGTTATGATAAAGAATGTTTATAATATTCAAGTTTATAAGAGGAGGAAAAGTTTTGTGGAGAATATAAAATCCTTATTCATATTAAAAACACATTTTATTATATCTGACCGCATGTCATCTAGGCTAAATGTAGCGATGCTGGGTTTTTTCTTAACGATAATACAATTGTAATCATATACATGTAAAAAATACATATATACATAAGGAACTATATTACTGGAAACAACATTTTTGTTTTTTAGTTTTATATTCGTACAAAATCCTTATTTTTATAATACATAATGTGATCGTTTTTAATTTATATTCGGTTACTTGCAAATTTCTTGCAAACTAATTTGGTGGCATTACACATAATATATTAAGGACATTTATTTATAGCTATATATACTCTAACGATAATACCAGATATTTCAATGTAAATATTCACGAGATTTTTAGAATGTTAGTTCAGATCCAGGGTCACATTTAGGTTTTGGTACATTACTACTATCACTTGCAGCGAGAGAGCTTTCAAATCAAACAAAACTCAAGATCGAGTTTAAAATTGCAAGATATTAATTGCTTGATATAAAAATATATGCCTTAAATAAAAAATGTATATCATACTATATTGAGTGCAATATTAAAAATCACTTACATTACAACCGGAACTAAATTTGTTACAGAAAAGGATATGTAATAAAACAATAGAATAAATTATTTAATTATATATATAATTGGTTCCATATATAGTAAAGGTTTTGTATAATATCGTTAGTTTTTGTAAGACACGTTCCACAATAGTCGTGACATTGTTTTATGTTGATTTATCAAAGGTCGATAAATGTGTGTCGCTAAAATAGAACGGTTTTTTATGAAATCTGAAATGATTTAACGTTTCCAATATTTAGAATCATTCATGGAATTTTATAGAAATATTATTGTCATAATATTTTATTAATTTGAATATAAATTATATCACAAAACAATCCTATTATTGTGACTCAAATATTAAAAAATATTTAATTTTATTACATTTTTTGGGAAATTTAGATATTTTTTGTACTAATATATTGTTAAAATAATAGTATTGTTCTATCATTAAATAATTTTTAATCGTTTACGGATCTAAAGTCTGCTCTTGGCCTTTTTAATGTGAGGCCATTTGAGTTTTATTTGCATTAAACTATTAAACATGTGTTCTTATGTATGGAGTTTATTGTTCTCCAATAATGTTAATAGAGAATTTTATTTGTTTTTAATATAGTTATTTCTTGTATCAAGAAATTGCGTTTTTGAATGTATAATGTAATTGAATGAAAAGGCTTACCTCATTGCGAATTTTGGTGTATAGTTTTGAGAAAATTCTGATAAGTAATAAGTAAGAAAAAACGAGTTATTGTATTAAATATACAATACTTAAAATGTTACATTTTTTTATTGGAAATTGTTTTATACTGAACGTCTTTATTTAAACTTATATAATCTTTATAGTAATACATCATACATATTTTGATATTAGAAGTTAAGCTCATATAACTGGTTAAGTTGTTGAAAAGTTACGGAAGCTATTAGATGATAAATTGAAGCTTACAATTGCTTTTTTATAATTTTATATTAAATTTGATTAATATTCATAATAAAATTGTTCTATAAACCTCACCAATTATATTGGTCATTGTCAACTGTAATTGTTTTTGTCAATGTTTCTAAGCTAAGGTATTAATTAGACCATATTAGTAAGACCTATTTGTAGATAGAAATAAATCACTATGGTGACTAAGTGCGAACAAATGAATAGAATAAAAAAACTGGAAATATAATGTATATATACACTGTAATAATATTTTTATTAATTGTTATTTTATATCGGTTATTTATGGCTTATAATAATCACAACTGTTATGTATTTATCTGATTGTAAACAAAATACTTCTTTTTATATTTATACTCGTATCTTCTATATGATTTTTTATTTTTAATTTTCGCTCCCAATTGTAAAATATTATAGGACGTAAATGATGTGGGGCGATACACCAGGTACTAAGCCAAAACAATTTATAAAATGGTCCAACATTTCATATAAGTCAAATGTGTATCGTTCTATTAATATGTGCATGAAAACTGTAACCGACAAAGATCTGAAAGACCATCAAAGACAACCAAAAGAAAAGCGTAAGAAAAACTTCATAGAAATTCTGTTGAAAGGCATTTTTTGTATCCTGGGTTATGAAATATACAGAAAGCGGTAAAAAAGCTTTGCAGTTAACAGATTACAATATGGACATTCTACGACTGCTCTGATGGTTTGTGAGTTATGGGCTAAGAAGAGTGACTGAGTCGTAAAGATATCAAACCTCGGCAGAAGATTATAAAGATAACATCCTTGAAAAGGCAGTCAAGCCTCTAATCAACTAGGTTATAACATAAGAATGTCCATGTTCATGGACTTTATTGCAACTATTGGAGACCACTTTAACTAAACTTAACGCACTTTTTATAGTTTTATATAAATTTATTAAACTAATACTGTAACCGAAATAAATGTTACGTGTAATAAAAAAATGTTATCTTTTTTTGCAACAACATTTATGAAAAGACTAATAATATCTATATAAAGTAAATTTTGTGTTCATATTATATTTTTCGATTAAATTTAAGGTTTTGTTTGTAAATAAATCCATATTTGTAATATGTTTAATCTATATTTACCTCTAATTATTTCACAGATAGACAATGCCGGCGTCAGTAGCATTCGGGAGGAATGAAAAATGGCGAATAAATCGGAACATTTTCATCCTCGGCTTCGCGTTTATGGTGCACTTTACAGCCTTCCACGGAGCTGCCAATCTTCAAAGCTCAGTGAACACTGACGATGGAGCAGGAACCTTCACACTGGCAGCTATTTACTTCTCGCTTATCCTCTCTAATATATTTTTACCAGCCATGGTCATTAAGTGAGTGTGAAGATACCATTATTTAAAAAAGTAATATTTAAAATAATTGGTCAAAGGGATTTACTTGATTCGCCTATAATTACAGATGGTTAGGATGTAAGTGGGCGATTGCGGTATCTTTCATAGCGTATATGCCCTTCATTGCTGCACAGTTCTATCCCTACCTTCATACCCTCGTGCCAGCAGGAATGATGGTTGGTTTTGGTGGTGGACCACTCTGGTGTGCCAAGTGTACATACCTGTCCGTGGTAAGTATGCAAATTGTTCAAAACTAGGTAGAAATTAAGTCAAATGTAACTTAGCAAGATTTATCAGAACATTCAATTATTATGATTGCCAGATTATTTCGTTAAGTCATTTATTATTACTTCCTGAATAAAATTGTGATCATTTAAATTCATTGATCGATCGTGTATGATAAAGAGTATTAAAACTATTGATGTACAGAGGATATTAAATAAGATGTTTAAAAATCATTCAGCGTATGAACACTCGGTAAGAATAATTTATTAGAAAATTTGAATTAAAAACAGCATATATGACTGCTAGATAATACTAGTGGTTCGTACCGGAAATATTAATTTGGCAGAATGACGTGGTTAAAATTAAGCAATTATATTTACATATATAGGTTGCGGAACCATATTCAAAACTGTCAGGAATATCATCCGAAGTGCTGGTGATGAGATTCTTTGGGCTGTTCTTCATGTTTTATCAGATGGCACAGATATGGGGGAACTTGGTGTCGTCTGCAAGTAAATTCATTTATATTATGATTTTTTAAGCACTTTTATAAAGTATTAGTAAGAATAAAGATTTTGCAGAAAAAAATCACCCTTCTCTTTCGCCGTTGACTTAGAATTAACACAGAATGTACTTTTATAAGTTTTCAGAATAGATGATGATGATGTTTATGTAATATTAAGGTACAATTATCATAGCTTTCTTTCAACAAACTGTACCTTTACTTTACCTACTCCGACATTATATGTATACAATCAACACCGTTTTTATATACACACATCTGTGTGCTTTTATTAAGAATTCGACTTTTGTCTGTTTTCAGTATTATCATCATCTCTAGGAGAGTCCACTGAATTCTTGCTAAATGAAACTATCGCGTCAGATGCAGCCTCATTAAGCAACATCTCTGTTCTAACACAAGATTTAGGAGCTACATGTGGAGTCAACTTCTGCAACGGTGGTGATGTTCATGTATGTCTAATATGTAGAAACGTGGTTGTTTTATATTAAAGCTATATCCCTAAAAACTGTTCATTATGTCGTAATACATCACCTTATAGGTCGTTTTAAGAAGGATTTGTTTAATACATATGTTTATAACCAAGAGTAAAAATAAAAGAAACTATCACGATGAGATAAAAAAAAAAAGCATAAATATATTACTTGTATTTATTACACTTGAGTACAGTTTCGTTTCCATTAAAATGCAAAAAATAATCATTTAATTTCTTTTATTTCACGTGGGTACTAGTTCAAAAATTCGTTTAGTCATATCTTAATTGGCGATGTTCCTCTGTGGGAAAACCTGCACAGACAAACTTCTGTATGAACCTTATTTATGAGGCAACTTTTATGATATTTTTAGGAGAACACTAACCTGAAGCCTCCATCAGCATTGAAGATCCAGGTGATAGCTGGAGTATATCTAGCGTGTATGGCTGCTGCGAGTATTCTTGTAGCTGTTGGAGTCGATTCTCTGAATAGGTTTGGTTTGTTTATAGTACTTTTGGCGATTTATAAAATAATAAACTATACATACATGTATTTTTTGACATATTACTTCCAGGTCCTATAATGGATGCATACAGTCATCTTATTTATGTAACTTATGAACTACTTGAAATTCTCTTTCAATTGCCACTGCCACTATCGTTACTTTTCCCGCTCCTCTTACGATTAGATTCATAAATATTTGCTATACGTAATCTAAGCTTAATAAACTCAAATTATAGGTACAACGCAGGTCGTCAAACTGCCAGTCAGGGTAAGTCCGGTCTCCATTTGCTGTCGGTGACGCTGAGGCAGTTAAGACACAAGTATCAGTTGCTGCTGTTGCCGGTCATTGGATATATTGGAGCTGAGCAAGCGTTCATGGCCGCTGATTTCACACAGGTTAACATTAATCTGGTATTTAAGGTTGCAAATGCATAAAGTAATAAGCCTTTGAATGATATTTATAGAGACATTCAAATGTTTCTGTTTTCTAAATTATATTAATATAAGGGTTACAAAATTTTCAGTGTCTTTTTGAGCAGTTAAATAACCTTGCCTTTATGTATATTCATTGTTCGGTTGGAAGATACATATATTTAGGAAGGGAAGGGGGCGAACAGTAGGGTTTTGTGTGGTTTTGCTTTCGTTTATTCCAAAGTTATTCTGACTTTCCAGACTATATTATTTTGTTTAATCTTTATTTTAACATATATTTAATAAGGTATAATGTTTATTTTAAAACTGTCCTAGTTTAAAGTAGTAATATCCTAAAGAGACCAAAACAATAGTAAAACGAATTACGTGATTTCCTGTTTGCGGTTTAACACGCAGACTTTGAAGGTTGAGTCACAAAACTCCTTTCACAGCGTTCATTTATTGTTAAGGTTTAATATTCTAATGTATGTTATATTTTTTTAAAACCAATAAATTTCCAACTCCAGTCGTATTAATTGGAAAATAAATCATTAACTGTTTTACTAAGAAAAGATTGTTGTTCTTAATATCACATTTTAATTGTATATATTTCGTTTGTTCTACAGGCGTTCGTGGGTTGTGCATACGGTATCAGTAATATAGGCTTCGTAATGATATGTTTCGGCGTGTTCAATGCTCTCGCCGCTCCTATAGCAGGAGCTCTTGTCAAACTAACCGGCAGATACCCGGTCATGTGTACAGCACTTGTAAGTCTTTATTTATCCTTAATAAAGGCATTTGGCCTTCGAGTAACACGTGCGAAGCCATTCATATTTGTTACAAAAACTATGCATACGTTCAAAGTATATAAATTTGTTATTTTGAATGAGATTAAATATTTTTATTTATAACTATATTAAATATACAGTCAATATTTTCATATAAATATTATATTAAATAGAATTTTATTCATATGCTTCTAATAATATTTTCCAGTTATTAAACCTATGTCTATTGTCGGCGCTCATCTCCTGGCGTCCAAACCCTGATCAATGGCTGGTGTTCTATGGCCTGGCAGCCATCTGGGGCTGTGCTGATGCTGTGTGGCTGGTGCAAGTTAATGGTATGGTAACATTTGATATTTCCCTATTTTCGATGATATACCCTTTAATTCTTAACGAAGAACAGGTATTTTCTGTGATCGTTTCTCCACTGTCAGTCGTAATTCATCGTCATGACAACCTTTTTCAAAGTGTTCAGTAAGGGAGTGGCTGTCGCATACTTGATAACACATTACATATTTAAAAAAGACCTGCTAATTATACTTATACATACATATAGGCATTTTAACCTGCATGTAATAAAATTCTGAATTTTCTTATGAACTAATTATTTTTAATTAGTTTCTACGGTAGATCTTTTTATTTAACTCATAGCTTTTTATTTTAAATTTTCGAATTTAAAAATGTATTAATTAACTAGTTTTTGCCCGCGACTTCGTCCGCGTTAGTTTCGTCATTAGTAATATATGTATAGCTGACCAGGCGAACTCTATTCCGTCTTAGAGGCCATAAATAATCAGGTTTTTCCTGTTTCAATCAAACAGAATGATTGACATATTAGTTAGTTGTCAAATCTAATGTCAAAAAAAGCGTTTGTATGGGAAATAGAAAAGGGCTGTTTTTAGGGTTTTCCCGGCAATTATTCCAATTTTTCTCACCTTTTATACCTTCCCTGAACCTCCACGAACATTTCAAGACTAAGATAAGACAAATCCGTTCAGCTGTTCTCGAGTTTTAGCGAGACTAAGGAACAGCAATCCATTTTTATATATATAGAAGAAGAAGATATAATTTTGTATCATTATCTACGTCTAAAGGTGATTTTTAATATATATTTATTCCTTTACCATAGAAAACCGATTTTTTTACACATTCCAAGTAGTTACAATATTACGGCTAAATTAAAAGAAAAACTACCGGGTAGTGGCAAATATCCAGCCATTTATTTTATTTCATGTTGTTCTGTTCTTTAATGTATTAATTTCATCAAAGTAATATATTTTATTTCTTGGTAATAAATGTCAGGAAAAATATAGAAAATATTGTTCCCACAGTTCCTTTTTATTGTATTTTAACATAAATGCAAATGAAACTGATATTAAGTCGTAAAATTTTTATTGTTTTATCTTATCCTAACAGTCCTAAATTGTACTTACGTTTCAAGTTTTCTAATGCAGTAACTTTATACTACTTCTTATTTGCCATTTCCTAAACGTGCATTGAATTATATGAAAATTATACGTTTTCACTAAAAAAAGATTTTAATTTTAATACGACTAGTATTATAAATTATTTTTTATTTCTAGCTCTCTCAGGTATATTATTCCCTGGTAACGAAGAGGCAGCGTATTCTAATTTCCGTCTCTGGGAGGCGACAGGTAGCGTCCTATCTTATGCTTCTGCACCTTATCTCTGTGTTCGGACAAGGTTAATACTTATTTATTTTTTATTGGATTATAAATATTTTTTATGACATTATTAGTATATAGTTTTTTTGTTACTATGACCATTTATTATCATGAATTGTCTTTATACCAACAAGCTTATTATAATTATGTGTCATAGTTGGTTAAAAATATTTCAGATTGTACATTCTATTGGGATTACTGCTAATGGGCTTCTCAGGATACACTACGATTGAAGTCATGGAATATCAAGCGAAGAGGAGACATCACCAGGAGAGAAACTTCGAGCTGGTCTCAGCTAAGGAACAGGAATGATGATAACTTTATACAAACTTAAATTACAACATTTGAAATACTCTTAGATTTAGGCGTAATTTATAGAGCACGTAACACAGTCCATGTTAAGTAGATACTATATATTTACTATTTATTTTCGTATTTTTTTAAATATCATTACATACTCATTCATTAATTTATACTCAGTTTTTATTTTTAAAACATGATCTTCATATATTAAACACTCAAACATTGATGTCAAACATTCAGTTAAATAATATTTAATTTGTTAGGAATGTAACTTAGAATTAGTAAGATTAAAAATAGGTATAAATAAAAGGTAAAAATGAAAACATTTCGTTTGAATAAATCATTCGTTTTATTCTCTTCCACATAAATACTTAAGATCGGAACAATGTCTCATCCGTATTATATCTAATCAAGCTTAAAACAAACTAAGTACTTAGTTATATTAAAGGAAATTAACAAGTGACTAAAACCACATCATACATTATAAAACACAACGACACACACGCGAATATATTGACAGAGGATGGAAATACATTTGAAAACAGATATTATTATAAGCTTCCCAACATAACTCAGATTCATACAAAATTGGCAGTAGTAATATTATGGACACGCCCTAATATGAGTTAGGTAAAAGTTTTTAAACAAAACAGTTATTTACATACATTAATACAGTCCGAGTCATTCTACGGCATGTCCATATGATTACTATCATAAAAATTCGCTTCGATCTTCCGAGTTGTATATTTTTTTTTGAGGAATGCTTTATTATTTTGATCTGAATGTCATCGTTCATACAGAATACAATCGCTAAGTAAATAAGTCACTGGTCCGTTAGTAACTGATGGATATATTGTCTTAATAATAAACTATTATTAATCGACAAATTCGTTATATTCTTAATGTTTTAATTAGTATTATCATCGTCCGATTTAAAGCGTACAACCGTAATACTTTTGAAAAAAATATTCATTATATATATAATCTTAAAAATGTTTAATCGGGAAGACATCGAATAAGGCACGAAATATATTTCTTCTGTTACCATTAATTAGCACCTCATTTCACTTAATTATAACTATTGGCTAATCGAAACTTGTATTGGATGAATTTTATAGAATACTTACAGAAACAAAAAATACAAATCAAATTTAATATTTAAATAATTCAAGCATAATAATTATAAATATTACCATTTCGAAATATGTATATCGTTTACAAAATATACTATTTTGGCAGTTAAGGAGATTACCACAGAACAGATGTTATTCAACTATAATATTGTCGCAATAATCTACTTATACGATTAATAAAAAATAATAATTATTATTATAATAATGATTTTAAAATGTCGTACGTCCGTATTTACATTTTCTTACGATAGGAATCCAACATTTTATTATGACGAGTCGATATATAATGTAATACACATACAAACATACAGTCTTCAGCGATCTCCATTTTAAATATAAAAATCGCTTTCGACTGTAATACTATTAATGAGCTTTCTTCAGGTGTGATGAGAATAAATGCTATCTATATGATATAGTTACAATAATTATAATTGTATATACGTATATATATATTTATATACAGACATTTTGTAACTTTGTGACCCTGTAATAATAAGACGTACATATGTAAGTTAGCCTCGATAACTTTCAAACGATTTCTTTACAAAAAAAGGCCATTATTTACAAAATAGATTCTATAATTACATGTATAGACAAATATTCTATCAGGGTCTTTTAGCACCGAAAGTTATAAAATTCTAACAAGAATTCTGTATGGTCATACAAAAATCTTAATGTTTTAAGGACACAACACATTTTGGACGGCAACACGATTATTTACATAATTCTTATACACTATTTATTATAAACTAAAGCGTCTTAAATGAAACTAAATGCAAAAAATTATATAAACAGGAAGACTATGAAATTGACACTAAAATTTAGTTACGGCATGTCATATACAAAAATATAATTTTCATCAAAGTGATTGATCTATAATGATTATGTCATCATTAATTATATTTTTATTAAAGAATTAAACATATGAACACGAATTAGGTTCAATAGAACAACATCAGTTAAATGTAGTTTGAGTTACACCAATCGAGTTCTTCAAATCGTAACTAAAGCGTAGTAAAACTTGCGTTGGCTCTACAAAAACAAAATATTTTCCTATGCGATAGTTAATTGCTATATAAAATTATGCGTAAATTACCATTCGATACTAAGAAATGTTCTAAAATACAATAAAAGCACCAACATATTTCTATACACCAACGAACTACCGCCGTACAAACACGCAATATATTCTAAGGCAATGTTTCATAAAAATATAATATACAACCTGTATCAAACTATATGAAACAAACGATATATTAGCTACATATGATTTAAAACTAACTGGGACTGGTTGTGTTACTTCTGGGTTCTGTTTTGAGTGACGATCCGTTGACTTTGGGCGCTGTGGTCGTCGTGGTCGCTGTGGTCGTTGTGGCCGTGGTCGTGGTCAAGGCAGCTGCCGCCACGCACTGTGAGCACGGTTCCAACCGCCTTGCGACCACTGCTCTTAGTTTCAGAGCTGGTCCCAACTTCATTTGCAACATCCCTGTGAGATGCTCTTCTGTAAGCAGCGGTAATCCCGACCCATCTATTCTCTGTTCGCGGAAATTCTGAAAAGAGATAAATTATTTTATTACACAAATCGTAAACCTCGTAAATATACACACGTTGTCTGCATAATTATATCTAAATTAAATGTATAGATGATACTGGTAGGATAAACGTAATGTGTATACTATATCAGCCCAAAACAATGTCCCGCTAAAATGTTTTTTATAAAATAATTTGCAAAACAAATGGACGTCGATAAAAACTGTGGAGTCGGTCCGGCAGGTTGTGGGAAGCTCGACAAACTTTAATAGTTTATAAGAGAGAGGCCGGTTGGCGAGCACCTGTCGCGGTGACACGCACGATACAGCGACTGGCGCATCTTGATCTTTGTTATCAAATTCGTCAATTCTCAATCAGAGGCATGACTACGGCTGGAAGAGAATTTATTTTGAATATATCTCTGTCTATTTAATTTTCATTCAAAATCATTTTATCTGGACTACGTATGAACGATCACACGGCGAGTGTAATATAAACTGTAATATCTGCCAGTGACTCTCACGTATCAAAACTGTTCAATGTGGTCGCCACGGGTCGCGGCCGCTGTGTGCACCGTCCAGCGTCCAGCGACCTGTCATCTCCGCGGGAACGTTGACAAAAAGCGCGCCGGCTACGTGACGTCCTGTCGCCCCCCCCTCCCCCCTCAAACCCCTCACCACACCTCTCCCTCAGCCCCCCCTCGTTCATCTTCACGCTCGACCACTTTTTACCGCGCGACATTTGCCCGGAGTTCGATCCGTGTCATCCGACGTATTCCTTTTTTAAATTGCGATGGTATTCGACTATTTTATTTTTCATCTCATTTCATTTTATACATTTTTTATACTCTTTTAATACCGCTCCGAGATGTGAGCCGCGAGTAACCGATCGTCCGGCGGTAAAGTGACGGCGTACAAAAAACTCTATGAATAATTAAAGCGAGATAGAGAAGCCGTTGGATAGATCATGGGAACGGAATTATTCAGCGACGGTGAGCATCACCGGCCCCAGACGGCTCCGTTGAAGGACAGGTCAATTTGCTAAAGACATGTTATTCCACCTTCGCAGTTGGTGTTCACCTCGGAGACATGTTTCCTTTAAACTTTATATAAAGTGGTAACATTTATATTAAAATATGCAGGGAAGAGTAAAAAGAATAAAATTCTCTTTTTTATAGATCTCGTATAATGCGAAATGTTTATTCCGTCCGGAGCAACCTTGTAGGAATATTTAAAATACGGTTTGAGGGCATATTTAAATTTAATAGGGGTTACAGAGCCGTAAAATTGTACTGGGTCTCTAATGCTCGTGCCCCGGGGTCAGGAGTGACCCATGTTCAACTAAACGAACTGGAATGATATCAGACAAAATTGTTTAATTAGGGATCAAATTGACGGTTCCGAGAAACCTTCATACCTATAGTTTATTCTTTTTATCGAGAAAGTTTTTGTACCTTAGTAATGTATTTAGTTTAAAGTTAGGACCGCATTTCATACAAATAACTCAAAGTAGCAAGTAGATGATGTAAATATAAGATAAACACAAACCAGGACAGGAAAAAAATGTTTTCTCATCAATTAACTGGCTATTAACATTGAGGTATCCAGCCTAGCATTATAGATAAACGATTGCTTGTCTGGGTAATATTCAACCCTAAAGGCGAGTCATAAGTTAAGAACACATGAGGCACAGCCTTTTACGATGTCCGTAGTTAGCAGGCAGAAACTGCGTATAGCCCGTGGCCATGAACCGATGTTTAAATTGCGCCCGTGTAGCCACAGCAGCCGCATCCCGAACAGGTTGTGGAGCAAAAAAGGTTAAAGTATGTTCCCCTGGGGGCCGCAGGGTGAGGTGAGGTGGACCGCGCGGGGGGCAGGGGACAGCGGGCAGGGGGTAATGACAGGGGCGGCACGGCGCCCGAGGCGGCTACTGCGCAAATTGATGCCTGCGCCCTCTGTGGAACCTTTGCTCCCGGCTAGTGATGCGCCACATGATAATTTATGGCGCTCTAGGAGTTAGGCTAGTTATAAAGGCAGGTGCTCGCTCCAACGTGTTCGAAGATGCCTAATACATTTTGAATAAATTGTTGATATCACGTTAAATTAAAGGGTCTCGACAAACATAGATTTTTACTCTAATATTGAAGTTTTATTTATATAAATAAGATTATAAATATTATTTTTTATTATAGAAAACAAGCAGTATAAAAATGGCAATGATGTCAAACTTGTGCGTGTATTCACATAAAAAAAACAAACATTGTTCTCCCACAAAGAGCTAATTACAATTTATAGTGAATGCGATCAGACAATTATAAAAATGACTATCGACATCGATGTAATTATCGGCAGTACGCATCACTATCGGAGGCAATTTAAAGATTGCTATTAACTTTAGAGCATGAACGTACTGGCTTATATTTAGTGCTGACGGTCGGCGGCTGTGCTCTCTCGATAATTACATCCAAGATGGTTTTATTTTATAAGAGGCGAGGGGTCATGGGACCATTGAGATTCCTTTTTTTTTATTAACTATCGTTGTTTTTCATTTATGTTGAGACTTTCTAACTTTTACTAGTAATTCTGTATATACTTGCTAATACTCCATTAAAAGGAATTATGGAACTTCATTAATAATATGCTGAGTAACGTTCGCTTTCATGCAACAAGAGAATTATTATATACTGTTATTATGGTATGATTATTGGTCAAGATTAAATATTTATTATTATTACTCTTACATTACAAAGGAAAATACTTTCATCATTCATAAAGTAAATATTTATATGTAACTACAGTAATTGTTCAATTCAAAATATATAAAAAAAAGATCAGTACGATCTCATTTTTGCTACTGCTCTTTCATTAAGTTTCATATTTTCAATATAAATAGTTAATTTATTATTCCTTATTAAACGATCCCGTGATTTTTATGGTAATAAAATATCTTTTCACTAAATATACAGAATAAATACGAGCAAGAGGTTTTACTCAAAACTTATTACATTTTTTATGAGGATAAACGAAATTTCAGTCAGACTATGGCACATACATCACTTGCTTCGTTACTTTTAGAACAATTAGAAATTTAGTTATTTCTTGACAATCAACAGCTGTTCCTGAATGCTAACGAAAATTATTACGAAGCCAACATCGTGTTATAACAACTTTAATCGTTATAGAAAGTTTATAGTTAGGAACGTAGCAGTTAAGCTTCTATATAATTGGAAAATATCAGACGTTTGCTGGTGGGTGTGGCGTTCGATGCCCGTGGCTGTCCGAGACGCACTGAGTTAGAGCTGTGTGAGTGATTGAGATGAAGATATGCGCCTGCGCAGGTGGGCGGGGCCTCTGCATCCGAATACCTACGATGCCTTCCGAACTTCTACTCCGAAACCGCCCAGTCCGAATGAATGTGATAGGCACTTCTGACCTCCAACTTTTAAACATTGTGCTTCTCATTACAATGGTTTAATGGATCAATATATTTTGATCATTACAATGATATAAAAGTTAGAATTATATAGAGTTAAAATATTAAGCAGCTGTATGACATAAAAATCAGTCATTAAGTAGTTAAAACATTTACATTAAAGATGTTATAAAATATAATCAACGCGGTTGAAACAAATCGCAGCTGGAAAATTTAACGGTTATTTATCTAGCGAATCGGTTGCTCTTAATTGAATTAGCTGCGTTTAAATTAACTGAGGGTCAGCGAGGTTATTTAATGCCTACAGTTAATTACTTGGTCTGATAAAGCGTTCTGATCAAGGTACAAGGTCATGGTGGACCTTATAATGAAACATGGTCAAATTAATACCACATTCAAAATTAAAACTATAATTTTTTTTTTTTGGTATCTCAGCAATTTGCCTTTTCAATACGATGGTGGAGAATAAAAATATTAACTGGAAATAAAGTAGAAATATTCTTTTATATCGAAATAAACATGTATGAAATTTGTCTCGGATCTTTTATCTCACAGCATCATAACAAAAACATGTTTTCCAAACAAGCATCAAACTGGTTCGAGATTCATCACACCGAGGCGTCATTTCCTGCACCATCTATAACAGCCTGCGGTACCAATATTCAATCACAACAATAATTCGTATCAAAGTGCACGAGGGCGATGCTCCTCGCACCTCATCGCACCTAGCACCGTTAAACAAACACCCGCCCGGAGCATCCGAGACTCAGCTATGGAAATCTGTTATTTTGCTAACACTGAACACAGATTTGTTGCTCTCGAGTGCGTTCTATATGTAAGCACTTAAATTAAATACGAAATTATGCTCGGATGTTTATTTACCGTAATACAATTTGTATTCTTATATCGTACTGTTATTTAATTTCTTTACATAATTCCTTGAATGGTAAAAATTTCAACAATAACCATGATTTCAAATAGTATCTACCTAATTCAGTTTTTTGCTTATAAAAACCAGACGTTTTATGAACTTGAAATTATGATGCTGTCTAAAAGATAGCAAAAGGTCATTGGTTAAAATGGCAATACATTACAACATAAAGTTATTTAGTGCCATGAAAAAATGATTGATTTTCTTAATAAAAAAATCCAATAATTTGGGATTATACGTTTTAAAGAGACTTAGTAGAAATTGTATTTATTGTAATTGCGAACCAGTTACTGATAACCAAATTAGCAAATAAATCTTGTTATTGTAAAACATAGGCTATATTGTAAAGAAATGAGTTCCAGGATGTGCAGTAGAACTTGACTTGATTTGCGACAATCAAACCTACATCTTTGTATAGATTTTATTCTGGAACTCCCAACATCTACTCGCTTCAAATACAAAGCAGTGCTTTATTACGCTTAAAGAGGTCCCAAAAAAAATGAATTGTGCAATTATGAGTAGTGTTCTATTTATATAAACGACTGTATGTTAAATCATTGTTTCGTCTGATTGTCGAGCTACCTTTATTATTCGTATCAATAGGATTTGTAACATTGACCTCTAGTCCAAGTAAATAACAATTAAAACTAAATGTTC